GACATAACGATGATGCAATCGCAGCCATCTAATTGGACATGTGGTCATCATCATGCCTTCATGACCACGTGACCAGGTGAAGGCCTTGAGAAATTCTTGGAAACTTAATTGACATACAACAAATTAGCCCAAGGAATGTCCCTGAATGTGCCTCAATATTGTGCTCTTTATTAATGGACGTAACGTGACCTGTAAATCCATTTGACTCAAACTAAGTCTTAATCAAGTCTGAGGAGGTCTTAATTTGCTTGGCGTCCTCTCAATTCCCCCTAAAGACAATTGAATGAGATTAAAGGCCCGGACACACCAATCTGACAACAAAGAACTGACACAGACGGACCCCGACTATTGCGTCGCCTCGCGTCTCTGCGTTTTGGCCATGTGTCGCCCTGGAACACCCCGCATAGACTTCAGCCGACAGCTGGTGTGTCCGTGCCTACACACCAGGCCGATTATCGGCGTCGGTGGGCGTCAGGCCGACGATGAGCGTCGGCACGCCCTACTCAGATTGGTGTGTCCCGCACCGTCGGGTCTTTTCAGCCGTGCCGAAGCCTTTTCGGCCGAAAACCCGGGTTAGGGTTAGGGTTAGACGCAACAGTCGGGGTCCGTCTGTGTCAGTTCTTTGTTGTCAGATTGGTGTGTCCGGGCCTAGACCAAAAGCTTTAATGGAGGAGGGGGACAGCAATAAAGAGAAAAGTACAAAATAAAGCAGTAAAAGTAATGCAAAGAATAACTATTGCAGACTTTCATTCTGCTGGACTGTATTGTAACAGGGTTTAAATATTTACGCTGTTCCAGATCTAATAAAGAGATGGCTTCATTAAATCTTAGGCAAGATATGAAACTCAATTTTTGGAGGAATTTCCACTGAAAGGTCTTCAAAGAGGAACATCACGCTCTTCTGGGTCAGTTCACATCAATAGAGACAGTATATGTCTGGGATTGATATTATTATTTTTCCTTGGCCTCTGATGAAGTTGATAAGACAATGAACAGAACGTGATTTTAGGCGTGATAGGAGGAGAGCAACAATGTGCTCTGTGTTTCCCCCACAATTAGTTAACACAATCATTTGTAATATTCAGTAATTAAATAAGGCGCACCCGCAGAAACACAAAGGCAGCTATTGACGGAACATTTGATCAGATGCAGAGCGAACAGTTTTCACATAATTGTCATTAAATAGTTTTAAAGGCGCCGTGTAGAGAGGCAGGACTTTCATTCATGTGCAATACTGTTTAGTGTTTATTATAACTAATAGTGGCTGCTAGTTCACTTACTTCTAGAATGCTGGTACTTATTTTGATCATACACGTACTTTTTTTAACAACACATGATTTCTGATTAGCAAAGGACTTTCGTCTTCATTTTTAAACCTAAATATTTCTAAAATAACTCTCACACTTCCAGAGCCACCAAATATATGAACTACATGAATTTGTAAAATGTGTATTTTCTTCAAATACCTTTTTACTTTTATATGTAATTTACATTTTAACATTTAAGTATTATTCTTGTGTAGCTTGGTATAGCAGACCTAATTTTGTATCCATGCACAATGCGTTCTGTACAGCTTTAGACCCATTTACCTCACTTACACGTTTGAGTTGTTATAATTTTTTTTTTATATTTCAATAAGGAATGGGGTTGACTATTTCTTATCCACGTCTCCTCTTTCAAAACAAGTTCAGCCCCAAAAACCTCCACAAATCCTGGACTATGCTGAAAGTGGATTTTATTGTATTAAACCACCATAAAAACGTATTTATTCCTCTGAAAATGTCTTTATACTCCTTTAACCATTTAAGATCCCACATTAGACCTCTATAAAACATCCTAAACTCTTGCTCCCCTTTATGTCCTTATCTCAACAACCATCTTCTATAAATCCTCCAAATTCCCCTTGGTGTACTTTGCTATTATCAACATGTACCATTCTTTTTGCCATGTTTACACCACTTAAGCCACATGTGTCAAACTCAAGGCCCGGGGGCCAAATCAGGCCCGTGGTGGATTTAATTTCGGCCCGCAGGATAATTTCTAATTACTATTAGATCTGGCCTGCCGGTATATTGCACGCACACCTTCACTCAATCCTGAGGATTTCCTCTGCTCAGAGCCTGACCCCAAACATTGATGACCTTGCACCCAAGATGAGATGCCAAGTATCTGGCTTGAACTAGCTTCACAGAGCAGCACACTGAGTTTCAATGGATGTTTCCTTCTGCACTTTTTTCTTGCGACAACAGGGTATGTTTGTTTTTTTCTTTGAGGGAAATTGTTTTTTTGAAGCTGTTGTTGGCCTGTGGAAAAATGTGATCATAAGAAATGACTCTGGAAAAGCTGCAGTACAGCCATAAGAAATTAATGCAACTGATTATTAATGTTGTTTTTATAGGCAATACTTTAAGCTTAGTTAGTTCCAGGTTTAATATGTGCAATAAGTTCATTTCAATAGGTTTTGCAATAAACATTGAACCAGTCCGGCCCTCGACTAGTACCCATTTGTTTATTTTGGCCCACTGTGTATTTGAGTTTGACACCCCTGACTTAAGCATTTACAACCTTTCTCTGTCATCCCTTGAAACGCCTTATAACTGCATTTTTAATGTATACCACTTCAACTGAGCAACTGGCTGTCAATTTAAGAATCTATTGAGCATCTGCCAGTTGTTTAAGCGACTTTCTTTCCCCAACAACCTACAACTCAATAAAAAGCACAAGCTCCTCATCCACTTTGCTCAAATTAGTCAAATAACTTGGATTATATTCAGAAAATAATGAGAAATGTTGCAATACTGTGATTTGTTAGGATGCAAAAGTGTCATATGAGGCTATCATTTCAGACACACAAGTCTTGAAGTGGGAATAAAATCAGACAAACTTAGAAAATAAGAAGCAGAAGAAACACAGAAAGGAAAGTGCAAAGAACAGGGTCTAAAATAGGACGGTGGATAAGAGGAAGTGTTACCTGTCAGCGCTGCAGAGTGTCAGAGGATGAGCCGTCTCTCAGTCTGAGTCCTGAAGTGTCTGCTGAGCGCTGTCCTCCATCTGCCTTTTAAAATTACAGCACAATGTGACACAGTGGGGCAGGAAGGTGGAGGCATGGTGTGACCCAGAGTGGGACGGTCACTGTATTTTTAGAAAGCTATAAATTAAGGAGAAAATCCTGAAAACCCCCACAGAAAAATGTGGAGCCTTTTGAACATGCAATCACTCTTGTAAAGATGAATGCCAGCAGTTGGAAAGTACTCAGATCCTTGTCTAAAGATACTCTATTACAAGTAAACATCTCTAAAAGTATCAAAAATATCTTAATCTGTTTATTTTATATTGTGTATTCTTTAGATATTCTGAAGATATATATTCATGTGAGGACAATTATCAAAAAAACAATAAAAAGGTCATACAACTTTGTCCTGTGTTTGTGATCACAAGACACATCGAGGGCCTGAGGAAAACAAACATCTACAGCTTCATGCCAACTAAAGAAACTCGATAAAGACTGATTTATCTTTTAATATATACGGCGAGAAAATATTATTGGAGTTGTGCTTGCTCAGTTTATTACTAAATTAGGCTGGTGAACAAGAGAGAGAGTGTACATGTTGACCTTGAGCTGCATCTATTGAAAGTGACAGATCACAGCTATTCAGATTGCTGACCTGAGATCAGATAAATATTTTATAAAAATTTGATCCGTCTTGATTTGATAGCATTTAATTTGATTATATTTCACCGGGGACCCACTTTGACTCACTGCAATATTTATATATGGAAGAGGCTAGAAGTCTCTGCTTGTATGTTTGCATGCCTCTTTAAAATCCAAAAAGGCTCTTACCTCCAACAAGATAATCAGATAAAGCCTAAATTGGATTTATAAATCGTAAAGGTATTTTCTCTTAGAACATGGTGTTACAAGAACTGTTTCTTCTAAGGTTTATTAGAAAAGGCATAACATGACGGAGCTAAACAGCGGCCACTTGTCAGTCCTTAGCCTAATTTCTGCAACTCAGAGTACCGACTGTAATCTGTTCATGGCTCCCATGATGTGCTGCTTTTGACATTTATAGTTTTTATAGAATTAGATTCTCTGCTGGTTTTATTTGAGGGAACACAACATTTGATTTAATGTATTTGTATAGGCCTTGAACATCAGTAAATGTAATAGTAGAGCGGCTGTAATGAGAACAGAGATCATGTGGAGGTTAAACTCCTGTACAGTTTGTATGGGAACTTTAAAAAACGTTGTAATAATTAAAAAAAAGTAGCTTATCGCAGCGGCTTTAACTCAGGCCTGTGAAAGCAGACATTCAGTTCAGGTCAGGTAAATCCTCACAATGGCGTGTTTTGTACAAGCCTAATGATAGTGTAAAGACAAGTAAACAACTCTCCATTCATCTATTTGAATTTTCCTGACTTCATTTAAAGGACAAATTCTCCTCAACAAAAACACTGCTGAGTTGAAATACAGCATTGTGTAAGGGATTTTTAGGAGGATTAAGTAATGAGGTAACTAACCTAAATCATGTTAAATCACATGTTTTATAAGCAAAGAGCACAGTGGCAATTTAAAGCTGTAATTTTATAAAAATTCGAATTTGATTCCATATTATTTTATAGAATTGTCTTTATTTGGCACTGAATTTGGCTATATTAGAAAGGGGTCTAACTAAGTCAGTATAATGTTTAATTATTAAGGGATGAAAAAGGCCTTAATTCTTTGCATTTCTCTTCTATTATCTGGGGCTAAATGGCAGCCTCATGTTTTAACAGCTATTACAAATGAAATGTAGATAGATAATGCATTTTCATTTAGAAAGAGGTTTAGGACTAAATACTATGATGCTATTATCACTTTTCTGTGAATTTAAATACTTGTTACACGACAAATAGTTCAAGAGTAGCAAGTCAGGCTTTTGTTTCGAAATGTAAACTCCGTCGCGTTTTTATTTTGAAAGATGACGTAACAGGAAGTGTTTTCCTATGTTACAGGCGTTAGCTTGAAAACGTTATATATCCGGAGGATTTTATAAACAAACTGTGATTGTTGTATTGTATTCCAAAACGAGGAAGAGGAACATGTTGCCAACAGTAAGTATTTAGTTGAACAGCGAGGAAGTAAACGATATTTCAGGTAAAAAAACATGGAAGACGAAGAGCGGCTACAGCTCGGAGGAAACCCGGACTGGATGTCCCTTCTGCCCGCAGAGCTGCTGGATGTCCCGCTGTGGAACCTGGCCATACCCGGTAAAACAGAAACACTTCCTTTTTCTATTTCAATTTAAATGTTTTTATGAAAATGTACCAGTTCTTTTTATATGAAAAGTCCAATTTGTTTTCATATTTTTCACGTCATATGACCCAATTACTCCAGACCATAGGACACACCTCTTTTTTAGATTTGAGTACTTCTGTTTTATTCTATTTCTATTTTGTTTATTAGTTGTATGAAAAAAATGCTATTTTTATAGGTTTTGATTTAGATAGTTACTTTGCAGATTCAGAGCATTAATACAAAATACAAATTCAGTAACTTGTTATATCTTATTATATATAGTAGGTTACCCAGCAGTATACTATCAGTTATGTTCCACCTTTACCAGCTGCAACATAAGGTGTTTTACATATGAATCCATCACTTATTATAATGCAATAGTATATGCCTGGTATTCTGCATACTGAGCCCAAAACACAGCCGAATCTTATAAAGTAGAAGAAGCACTTAAATCCACTAAAAAATAAGTATTTCTCATTAGTGTATTAATAACATCTGGTTTGTAGCTGGAGTCAGTGGGGACACATGATCTCTCTGAATATATTTTTGCACATTTCTGCAAACGTACCAGGCAATAAATTAGATTCTGATTCTGACTAACTGAAAGGATCTTCTAATACTTTTACTAAGGTACTTTAACGGAGTACGTCTACACTGTTATTACTACTTTCACTTTAAAGAGTTCTTTCCCCTTTGCTTTTGGGGCATATTGTTGATTTCTGCCCTCCGTCTCTGACCACAGGGAGCCATGACAGCATGTCTTTCTGCCTGGACGTCTCCTCTCCTGTCCTGAAATCAGAGCCCCGCCTCCTCAGAGTGATTGACAGGCTGTTTCCCTGCTGGACTCGACCCTGCATCTACCGCTGGGCCACCACACAGGTAGAGATGTACTGTATGTGACACACGTACAATCATTGAGGCCTGCCCTTCAGTGGATTTGAAGGGAGACAATCTGATGCGTTCAGGTGGCTTTCCACAACTTGTAAAGTCAAACATTTCCAGGTTTTTTCCCCCCTATGTATGTATGTGCTCAAAGTCACTGGCAGCAAACTGAAAGGCCTCTTTACAAAGATTACTGAAGTAGAGGTACACAATTAATAAAGTACTGCAGAACAAACACCCTAGTCAGGATTGTATTGCTATATTATATAAGATATGATTTCTACATATTTACCTGAAACTATTTTTCTGAATAACACATTCTGTAAAAAGAAAAAAACAACTCTGCTCTATTTAATTCAATTTGAATTAATTTGATTGTTTTTGCAGAAGTCTGAGAACTATTTTCACGGAAAATGTCATCTGCTCTATGTAATTAGAATTGATTAGATTATTATTGCTTAATGCTGGTAGTTAATGTTTACTTGGAAACATATATGCTCTGTTTATTCAGATTGACCAGATACCTAAAAGTACAGCGTGAAGATTTTATTTACTTGAGAGTTTGATTTAATTGGAGCTACAGTAACACCGCCTCTTTAATCAAATTTGAGTAATTATTTTGAATCAGGAAATACTCGTGTCTTAAAGCAATTGGATTTAGGCTATCTCTCTAATTGAGAAACACATGCACATTTTCCCCAGTTAAACAACAGTCTTTTGAATTCTGAAATATGTATGATGATACATAAGTTTACACAATGAAATGTGAATAAAGGTGTGTTCAGATATTACTTTTTATGTTTCAAAAGCGCCTCATAAATTGTATTTTCTACAAAGAAAAGCTGTGAAATGCATTGGATTATCATACATTTGACATTGATTCCCTTTTTTCTTCTTCCCCGTGTGTGTAGCAGTCGGTCCTGAGTGATCAGTGTGATCTGGGAATTCGTTTCTTTGACCTGCGGATCGCCAGGAAGCCATCAGGAGGCGGGAAACTGTTTTTCGCCCACGGCATTTACACACTGATCACTGTGAAGGTACACACACTCAGTCTCAGGTTTGAATGGGGTTTACATTAAACACATCATAGAGGAAAATGAGAAAAAAGTGAATACAAAATATGTGTGTGTGTGTGTGCAGGAGGCCCTGGGGGAACTGGCTACCTGGTTAGACGCTCATCCGAAAGAGATCATCATCATTGCCTGCTCTCATTTCGAGTCACTGACCGATGAAGATCACTGCCAGCTTGCGGATTACATCATCTCCCTGTTTGGAAAGAAACTATGCTCTTCAGAGGTAACACAGTTGTCATTTTTCTAAATGAGATCATCAAATCCTTTTATAAATATCAAATATATTCTTCTTTTAGCCTTACAAATGTGTTTTTGCTGTCTAATACAAGTGTACATTGGGTATACTTAGATTTCTAATGTCACAGACTTAATAATACATACAACAAGTTTTGAATATATGGTTTTTGGATAATAAATGTTTATTTGCAGGACATTCCCACCTTGCGTTCCTGTTGGTGTAGAGGTCAGCAGGTTGTAGTTTCCTATGATGACCAGCAGATGGTGCTGCAGCACCCTGAGCTGTGGACTGGGATACCTTACTGGTAAATAAATCAATAGAGAGGCGAAGTCCCGCCCATCTACTTCCGGTCCATGGGACCTTATTTCGGAATAATTATGTATTGAAGTCAATGGGGAGAGAAAGATTATCTTTCGATCCCGTTTGAATTGTGCCACGAATTACACATATGATGTTTGTCAATCTTAAAAAATCATTTCCATGTCAAAAAAGTCACAGTTTGTCGTAAAACTGTTGAAATATAAGACTATGAAAAATACGCAACTAGAAAGACTACAAATCCCAGAGTCCCGGTCCCGCATGCTGGCTCTTACGGAACCGACTAACTCCCCTTATGTGTATGTACAGCTCTCAACATGCCCAGACTTGTAGTGATTTTCACCTCTTTTAATACTTTCCGCCTCATTCTGAAAGAAAGAAGTGAAATGTGCCAACGTGACGGCCGTCTTGGTGTGTGGTGCGAGACGGGAGATGTAGTTCATTGAGCGGTTTCACACAAAAAAAAGTATTACTTCACAGTTTTACGACACATTTTTATTTTTTTGACTTGCAAAATTATCTTTTAAATTGACAAACATCATATGTGTAATTCGTGGCACAATTCAAACGGGATCGAAAGATAATCTTTCTCTCGCCATTGACTTCAATACATACTTTTTCCGAAATAAGGTCCCATGGAGGTCCCTCGGAAAGGGAGGGACTCTCAATACCAATCTCTAATTGTTCTTTATTAGATATATGAATTTATGTAGTTTTGCTGATTTAGGTTGCCAAATGACGTCCTATAAATCATCTTGGCTGTAGAATTCTCTCCACTATGAATTTTTAACTGTAAATTAGATTAATTAAAACTATTAAAAACATCAAACTGACTCTGGCTCTTGTTCAGGTATGCCGACAGTTCGGACCCTAAGAAAGTGATCGCCTATCTGGAGGAGCAGAAACACAGAGGAAGACCAGGTAGGCTGAAGAGGAAGATATATTACTCTAAAAATAAACTTTGTTTGAAGTAAAAGTCCTGCAAAAGTGGCACCTGTGTTCAATTCTGATGTATTCATATTTAAATATTCCTTTTATGTGATGAGACCACCTTAATACCACACATACTGTTGAGTAATTCAATCTATAACCATTATTTAAATATTCAATAAATGTGCAGATTATTTTCTCAATGAATCGTCTACTCTATAAAACATCACAATATAGAAAATGTCCATCCCAGGGTTTCAAAGTCCAAAGTGATGTATTTAAATGTCTTGTTTCATCAGTTCAAACCCAAAGATTTTCTATTTAAAATGATTTGGCATTTATTTTTCCTGCTGGTCTTCTTATCAATTAGTCAACTATAGTTTTATTACTTGACTGTATTTATGATCCCTATTAATAATAAATGTATTTTTTCCTGGGGTCCACACAAAGACAAGACATTCAAACATCATATTCTCATCAGTCCACAATGTCAACCAAACCAAACAAAGTAAAAGAATAGATGTCTCTCACATTCATGTCACATACGAGTAAAAAGCAATATATTCCAAATAACAAGTGGCATAAAATTGAAAAACTCATGTACTTTACTTTTTGATATTTACCTGTCTGCTTTTCTCACAGATGGTTTCTACGTCAGCGGGCTGAACCTGACAGAAGACGCTGCGTACATCCTGCTGCACCCCCTGCAGGACATGAGGACCCTGACCCTGAGGGCTCTCTCTCTGCTGCTCCGCTGGGCGAGCGAGCAGCAGCCGGGGGGCGGGGCGGGGGGGCTCAACGTCCTCTGCTGCGACTTCGTGGACGTCAGTCACTTCTGCTCGCTGGTGATCCGCCTGAACTACAAGAAAGTGCTCGCTGCTCCTCGTGCCGTCTGTACTGTGCCGAGAGCTACAGCAGAAAGCATTGGCTGCTGCCATAGCAACCAGACTGGACATCCAACATAGGAACTCTTGGAAGTCAGCATTTATTATTTTGTGGCATTTTTCTCAGTGAAAGTGCCAATTACTGTGAATACTGTCACTTTTAAACGTGTCACTCTTACCTCTCTTGTACACAGGTTCATGTATTGTTTTACAGATTGTACATATATTTGAATTTTGAACATACTTTTTACGTTTCGCATGCTATTTGGGAGTATTAACCTATGTACATTATATAAATAAAAGCTTTTATATATTGTTGTACTATTGCTGCAGCTCTCCTATTTAATGATCTTAGATATCACATGGTATTATATTTAAATCCTGTTACAATTTCAGTATTTTATGAACTGTTCATTGGGGATGGGAATTTGAAAGCAAATTTATATTCGAATATTCGACCCCCAAAAAAACGGTTAACCGATTTTACATATCCTATAAAAAAAGTTTTATTAATAAATACATTTTCAAATAAATATAGAAACCAAACCAAGCTTTCTTTGATATTTATCTTAAGATATTTAAAATGGCACTGTCGTTTACATTTAATTAATCCATTTGATAATATGTAATCAACTTAGGCACCCCTCCAATAAAAATAAATAAATATCAAAGATAGCATAAATAAAATAAAATATTCATAACTCATTCGAATACCTGAGTCATTTCGACACTATTGAGCCGACATCAATCCATGGAACGGTTTCTGGAGTCAGGCAGGCTGCCGGTCACATGAGGACACAGGTCACGTCACTTCACTAACGAACAAACGAGACGCAGCTGTGCAGGCAGCTGGCCAATGACAGGAAGACAACGAACAGACAGGAATATGACAGACGGCACCACTGAAAATCTGAGTTAGAGAGACAGGAGGCATCCAATTCTGTTTCCTCGCAGGGAAGGAGACAACACTCACACTTTCCACACAGGTTTATTCAAGCAGATGCAGCATTTTAAAAGGATGCTCATCAACACAAAGTCAAAAACAGATAATAATGATCTTACTGCAGTTGTTAAGGCACGTGGAAATGTCACTTTATTGTCTACTTTATGCGGAAACTAATGAAAGGCTGTGTTGGAAGTTGAACCGCAGAGAGTGCTGTCAGCTAGCTGCAGTGCATTTACTGTTTGTGAACAAATAAAAACAAATAGAGGAATAAAAAGCAACAGTGCATAGACAAACAGTTATGGCTGAATCCTGTCCAGATATCTGTAGGTACATTTGTTTCCTGCACAAACTTTGTATCAGAGGAAATGTGTGTGTAAGGCTGCACATCTTCTGGATATATTTGGAAATGTTATTATTCACACACTATACTAGAAAATGCACGGTTTATAAAAAATAAATATCCCTTTGTTACTGCTAAAAGTACGGAAACATCTTCGCATGTAAGACAGTCACAACATAAAAAAGACTATTACTGAAGTGCTATGGGTTACAGGTTACATCAGTGTAGAAGAAAGGAAGTTAAACCATTTTTAATAAACAATAACTCAGGTTTATGTTGGACGCTGAAATGTGTGGATAACTGCACCGATACCCACCTGAGTATTTTATTACTCAATTTTCCACTCTAGCACCGACATATACTGTATATAGAAAGTACACGTGGAATTAAAGCCACAGGAGATGTTGTTTTAAATCATTATTAACACTGCTCTTCAGGTATTAGGGTTGTAAATATGAAGAAGAAAGGGACACATGAAATCTACCTGTTTTATCGAAATGTAACTCACACAGACGTACTTTCTACGCATGATCACAGTGGTTAATCCCTTTTCTGAGATACATTGATTTCCCTTTTATCGATAAAAATGAGGGGGGTGCTGTTGTGTGACATATCTGGCTAGAGATATTAATTATAAAATGTCCCCTTGTTGAGGAAATATTATAAAAATGTAATTATTCGTACCATTTCCTGAAAAACAGCTAACCTACTAGCTTTGAAAAATCACAAAAGTTGTTTAGCATCAAAGCTTTTAAAAATAATATTTCCAAATATCCTTAAAGATTGCTTCTGGATAAAAAATATACGTTTAAGACCCTGTTATTCATAAAGGAATCTAAAAATGTATATAATACATTATTTTTTGACAAGAACATGAGTTTTCATCTTTAATTATGAAAGGAATGTTGTTTATTGTGCATATAATTGAATGTTTTTCCATCTAAATGGTTAGAAGAGTCTTTGAGGATTTTGGAAAGTTCTTTAAAAGACCATACATTGATGTTGAATCGTACATTCTTTGGTAATAAACACATCTTTTTGTATGTAATGGTATTACACAAGAGGCACACACCTGTGACCCTGGCACTTTGGATAAGCCTATCTATAAACAGTATTGGGACTACTTTCTAAGAAGTAAATCGTCTCTATAAAATCAATCTGTGTGTTCTTAAGTATAAAGCACCAAGCGTCAACATTTATATCAGTATTTAAGCGATTGCTATCTGAAGAGTGGAAAAGAACCATTCACAGACAAGCGAGCGTCCCTGCTGGAAACACACTGTTGCCTTGTGTACTTCCAATATGGCTGCCGCAGGGTGTGTTACTGTATATATCCTGAGTTTAAACAAAGGTTCAACATGTGGGAGGGTCCTGTATAGCACCATATGGGAATGGCTTACAAACAAACTAATTATTCATAAGAGGAAAACATATTTACAACATACTGAAAAGTATGGACAAAAGCATGGCTTCGGGAGGTGTCCAGTGTGCGTGTGTGTGTGTGTGTGTGTTTATCTCTTGGCCTGGCCGATGTAGCTGTTCTCGATGCACAGCACCACGTAGGAGCCGGAGCAGCTGCTGGGGGTCTGCTGCAGCAGGTTGCCGCTCCGCAGCTCCGCCGCCGTGCCGCTCAGCGCCCGCTCGCCCACCCGCCAGCCCTCACAGATGCTGTCCATCTGACCCCTCCCCGCGGCGTTCGACCCGTGCCACAGCATCTTCTCCGGCCTGGGAAACATGGGGAAAGAGGACATTTTAGAACTCCCAATACCTGAAGAGCAGTGTAAATAATTATTTTAAACTAGGTTTCCAGTGGCTTTAATTCCACATTTACTCTTGATATATATTATTTGTTGGTGATAGAGTGGGAAATGGAGTAATTGAAATACGAGTATTGGTGCAGTCATCCACACACTTCAGCGTCCAAGTGAATTTGTGTCTATTTTGATTACTGCATACCAACAAAATTCAGTTAAGGTGGTTTGGGGATGATTTTTGTCTCACCATGTGCTGTCGTTGAGGACGTCTTTGCCATCGAAGGAGTACATCGGCACGCTGTCCTTCATCCTGCCCTCATTAAACATGGCGTCCCAGCTGTCATACAGAACCTCGTCCTGATGAAGGTGACACAAAAATATCAGTGCAAAGATCTGGTGAAGAATATAGAACTGGTGGGCAGATAGTTACACAGATTATTACAATTATTATGATCAATATGTAGATAACGATTGTAAATAGTTTTTAGGGATCGATTATTTATATTGCACTTTCACATTCAAATTTACAAAGCACTGCTTTCACTTCCATGTGCTGCTACACTCCTGCAAATGTACAAATCTTTGCATCAAAATAGGACTCAAAGTAATCTTACTCACGCAGTTATATTATACTTAACTATACTATACTGCAGCCACAATACTCATAAAAGTTTCCTTAGAGTAGAGCATGCATTTTAAATATCACACTATCATGTTCATTCAATTTAGGGAAGCCAAAATTGATTGGAATAAATATTTGATTAACTGCGCAGCCTTAGTTTCCAGTAATTTAATATTTGATTATGAGACGATAAAGCCATTAAAATAACCCTCTTCTGTTTCTAGCTTCATATTAACATGCAGACATGAGACCTTCTTATTGGACCCTTGGGAAGAATGTATTTTCTCTTAAATATCCAGAAACCCTCTGCTGGCTACCTTCAGGTTGACTATGGGCAGGTGGTCCCTGTCGCTCCGGCGCACGATGCTGTGCAGGTCCTGCAGTTTGGCGGAGAGGAAGGCCCGGAAAGTTCCCTTCATCCCGATGGCCTGAGCCTGGGTGAAGCACTGGTAGTCTGCACCGCGGATCCCCCGCATGGAGCCGGAGTGGGGGCTGTTCAGGGCGATGAGGTGGAGCTGGGGAACACCAACATGTACAGTATTCATATTTGATTTCATTCAAAAACTTTAGCGGAAATGTGAGCAAATGTTGTCACGGTAAATACACATTTTTACATATTAATGTATGTTCGATGTGCACATGTTTACTTTTTATTACTATATAAATATTGTTATTTCATTTTTTTATTATTGTGTTATAATATTTTCTCTGTTTCATTTAATTCAATCTTTCTTTGCACATTTAACAATAGAGCAACCGTCACAGTTTACCCCCCAGGATCTATAAAGTATTCAGATGAAATGCGATGGTGTGGAAGTGGTCTCTCTTACCCCTGCTCCTGAGGTATGACGGTGCACTGGAGTGTCGGGCACACGAGGAGGGGGTCTTCGCTGAGGAGTGACGGCGTAGCGAGGGTCCGCGTAGCGGGAGTCCGGGTACGCAGGGCGCTCCTGTGCCGTGTTGACAGAAACCCTCCCGTCCGGTTGGTTCAGGCGGTCTGTGTAACTCGGGAAACGTGGATCTGTGGGTGGTGGGAACCGAGGGTCCGGCTGATACCGGGGGTCAGGGTTGGAGGGATATCTGGGGTCAGGGTGGGAGGGGTATCTGGGATCAGGGTTGGACGGGTACTGTGGTTCCTGGTGTGTAGGGTGGTGAGGGTCCTGGTGTGTAGGGTGGCGAGGGTCCTGGTGTGTAGGTTGGTGAGGGTGGTGAGGGTCCTGGTGTGTAGGTTGGTGAGGGTCCTGATGTGTAGGGTGGTGAGGGTCCTGGTGTGTAGGTTCGTGAGGGTGGCGAGGGTCCTGGTGTGTAGGGTGGTGAGGGTCCTGGTGTGTAGGGTGGTGAGGGTCCTGGTGTGTAGGTTCGTGAGGGTGGCGAGGGTCCTGGTGTGTAGGGTGGTGAGGGTCCTGGTGTGTAGGGTGGTGAGGGTCCGGGTAGACGGGGCTCTCAGGTTGAATTTGGGAGTCGTGTACAGAGGGGTCGGTGTTTTCGGTGTGGTGGGGGGAGTAGGGGACAACAGGTGGGGGCTCCACAGCTGCAACCTCGTTACCCTGGAAATAATGGGCATTATGTGAATGAAAATAACGTGCATTATGTACATTAAGATAATGGTCATTGTATGTGAAGAAAAAGCCAAAACACTCACATCTACAATGGGCAAAGCAATGTAATTCCCAAGCTGCAAAATAAAGAGACAACATAAATATACAGAGGGTTACAGTATGTATGCATGGAGGTTGCAATATGACGTAAGTGTAAATACATAACATAAATAAATGAATAAATACAGAAATAAATCACTAAAAACGGAAATACATAAATATAGGAACAAGAATTGTTAAAATTAAATAAATAAATATATAGGAATAACATTTTTTATAAATATAGGAATACAATTAGTGTTTTTAAATAATTACATTAATAAATATAAGAATATATATATATTTTTTTGAATTAATAAATATAGGAATAAAACATAATAACAGGAACCAAAAACTGAAATATTAAAATATAAAACATATATATATATATATATATATATATATATATATATATATATATATGAATGCTTAAAGGTAGGGTAGGTAATTTTGGAGAAACCGGCTCGAGATCGCTAGAATTTGAAAATACACAGCCGGAACAAATCTGCCACTTCCTTATAGAGCCCCTCCTCCAACACATACAAGCGCGCACATGACCAATGAGGGCACGAGATAAGTTTGTGCACAGATGGAAGGCTGACAGGCAGGTAGGCCATCCAGTTATTTTAGCCGGGCCGGCTAAAATGATTGGTCGTGCTTTTTACAGTACTACGGCTTCCACAGATGACATTTTTTTATGGATTTTTTGTCAAAGCACTTAAGATATTCATTGCTATCGGGATGTTAAGAGCATTCCATGGAATATAACAAAAAGTGTATCTCGAGCCGGTTTCTCAAACTTACCTACCCCACCTTTAAATGTATATGGCAATAAAGAAATAAATGCATAAAAAAGGTCATAAACAAACTGAAAATAAATATATTTATTTCTTTTTAATGTATTTGTATTATTTTTCACACATATTTATTATATTATATATATGTATGTAACTTTCCATCCTGTTTATGTATGTCCTGCCGATGTAAGACAGTAAGCCAATACTTCACCTGGACTTGACGAATGCCCCCCCGCACCCTCAGGTAGAGATCAGTTTGATCTATGATGTAGACCAGAGAGCCCTCAGGCTGTCTTCTGGCGGTGGCTGTCATGGTGTCATACGTCCTCAACACCGTCACCTACAACCACAGAAACACTCTTACAGCTCAGCTACGGCTACATTACTGCTGGTGTTTGTATCTCATGGTTTTCTGTTAGATAATAAAACTGCTTATTCACCCCTGTGGAGTGTCCAGGTAGTCCAGGTGTTCCAGGTGGTCCAGGGGGTCCAGGAATATTGATAGCTGTCATAAAAAAAGGGAGGGGATCACATGACTGTATGCAGACTTAATTGCAGTGGTGGGTATTCAAGTAGAAATACAATTAATCATAAAAATACGTATGTCTTCATTAGATGCAATTCCTATCATAACTGCATTATTTTAAAACATGTCCTCAACAGGTGATAATAAATGTGAGTGCTGTCATTAATTAACATGCTCTTAGGAATGTAATACAACAAGAACATATTTTTTGTGTCAATGACTGAATCCTAGTTTGAGAGGTTTCAGCGCAGTCCGGATCGTGTGTGTAGAGATCTTATTTGTCGCTGAATATTAAGGGAGAAGAGTGTAGACCAATGTAATGGAGTAAAAGCACACATTTGATATCACAAATGCACAAAGAATTCAGCAAAACTTCACGAGTAACAATTTATAAACAAATTACTCAAGTAAATGTGACGCGTTATTACCCACCATTAGGGATATTAGGAAAATAATATCACAATCCTTTCGACCGAATATCTTGATATCAATAATGCAACAATCTTGAAAGGTTGACCATGCTGTATTTACTCAATGAGGATTTTGATAAATAATCAGTAGTAAGAATTTTTTGACCAAGCGGTTAAAAGGAAAATAGGCTAATCGAAGAGCTAGGAAAACTTACTTCAATTTACTATAAATCAGCATTTCAAACTAAGTCATATAAAAATATCTAAAAGTAACTAAATTGACAACATTTATTCTCATATCACAATAACGATATAACATTGACACGTTTCCCAGCCCTACCCACCACTGCTTATACAGTTGTGTTTAGGACCCTAACTCACTCTGTGTGCCTCTGTAAACTTCAGGTGTGGATCCTCCTGCAGGTCCAGGGGGCCCTGGGGGTCCTTGCTGACCATCATAGCCTCTCCCTGGCTGACCGGGGGGCCCCTGAGGGCCTGCTGGCCCAACGATGGAGTCTCCTCTTGGACCCTGAAGCAACAAAGACAGGAAAGTATTTAGATTTGGATTTTCAGAGCACACAATGACTCTTTAAAGCTTTATATTTCTGATCTTACCGGGGGTCCAGGTGCTCCGGCCCCGCTCACTCCATATCGGGGGTCATAATGTCCCTCGGCCGGTTCTCCTTTATCCCCTTTGTAGCCCGGGGTGCCACTTTCACCTTTCATCTCATTCTGCACATATGAACAAACACCCACAACATTAAAAGACAATAGTACATGTGGGGGAAACTTCTGAAGCAATTGGAAACAGGACTCAGAGAGACACGAGGAGGGCTGGAGCGTTGATGGCAAACACTGACGGTTTATTTTGAGTTACGGCCGGAGAATTGACAAGACAGGTGGTGTGTCACGAGTTGACACAGCGGTTGCCAAACCAATTCTGAAGAACTCTTTCTGCAGCTCGAGGTTTTAACTATAGTGTAATAATCAACATTCTTCAAATATGGACCCTGAATCTAACTAGAGCTCTCGTCCATAGGAAAGAATGTGCGCCAGGGAACCTACGTCCCTGAACAGTAAACGACCTCATGGCGGCTTGTGTTCTGTCATAGACTGGCAACAACAAAGCGCCCAAGCTGCTCCTCCTTAAGAGAGATAGCAGCAATACCCAAGGCCGTAGAACCATGCCATGGGAAAGGAGACAGTGAGAGGAGGAAATGATGAACTGTGTCAAAGGTTGCTACCTAAGCAACTTATTCCCCAACAGTACTGATGGTCATAGTTTTTAACAGAAAGACACACTTACCCTCAGGGAGTAGATGTCAAAGGTCGACCCGCCTCCTGCACAGAAACAAAACGTCTTGCTATGAATTTCATCTTTTTAAAAAAGCTATTTGTTTTTGTCCACAGGAAATGTTATGCTACCTGTAATCTCAACTCTGCCTGGGGGTCCGGGGTCACCTTTATCTCCTTTAGCAGCTTTAAACAAAAAGCACAGCAACATTATATCAAGTAAAAGACCTGCAGAGTTTAGATAATATTATATTTATCCCAAGGGAAACCTTTAAAGGAATAGATTGATACGCTCATTCGCTTCATTCTTTATCCTTAGCTAGGTCAAACCAGCTACTCCATTTTTAGTTACAGACATAAAAGAGGCATTCATCTTCTCATACAAATATTGATTAAAAAAAGCAAAGCTAATACAAATTAAACTTACCGGGGTTATATCTGGAATAATCGTCATATCCCTGCAATTCAAAAATTATAACATCCATTATTAGATCAATAAATTGCAACATTTAAGTTAAGCGATGTCTAATTGTCCCCCATATACTTCAATTCAGATTAAAATTAAGGACATTACTTAAACAGATAAGTCTTAAATTAAATTAAATCAAGGTAACATAATATATTTTCTATTTCTACTGTCTTTTTACTCACTCCCTGTCTGTCTGTGGGATAAGATCCAGGGGGTCCGGCAGGGCCGGGGGGACCTGGAACACCCTGGAACAAAACAACAAATATTATTATTATGAACTGATGATAAAAGCTTTAAGTAAATGGGACTGAAATTGAGAAACTCACAGGGTAACCAACTCCAGACCCAGATCCTGAGTCTCCCTTCTCTCCTCTGACGCCGTTCAGCCCCGGGCGACCCTGAAATAAAACACAGTTACGTTTTTTTACATATCAACAAAGGTCAAAACCCTAAACATTTCTGACTTCGGGGACTCCTGCTGGAACTGTGGAGTGGATCGTACCATTTTTAAACCGACTTGATGTATTGGTTTAGTAGTAATTATCAACTTGTAGAGCTCAAATACACATTTAAAATATATAATATATATATTTCTTTTTGAAATGTTGACAAACCAAAGCCAACTTATTCTGACAGAGAAGGGGCTAGACTGAAGCCTTTTGTTATGACCCTTTATATATTCATTAATTGAGTAATTCTGGATAAATATAAAATCTGAAGATGGAAGAAAGAAAGAAAATACATTCATAGATATTCCTAAGAAGTCTAGGGACTTCAGTATTACTTTTGTTAATTATTTTGATTTTATGTATTGTTTAAAAACGATTTAATGTATCACACAATTAATTAAATTCACTGTTCTTGTTTTTTAAACTTTGTTAATACTCTAATTTGGAGCAACCCCTGGATAAGGTTTTTTTTGAAAATCAAATGTTTTACCCTATGTAAAGTATAATGTCCACAATTTGATGATAAAGTAAATTATATTATTGTATATACTCACAGGTCTGCCTGGAATCCCAATCTCTCCTTTATGTCCTGAAGGACCATAAGGACCCTGGAGAGGAAAGCATTTCATACAGGTCAATTTAAATGATTCACTTATCGTATGTTCTATCAGCAAAGCATTTCAAATGTGGTGAATACAAATATGGTACTCACTGAAGGTCCCTCAGTACCCGGGGGTCCAGCGTCACCCTGTGAATAAATACAAATAAACACTGAGAACACTTTTATGGATTAATACCTGCTTACATCCCTGCACTGTAAAAAGTAAAGGACAGTAATTAGGCTAGTTTGAGCTGTGGTGCAGTAACAGTGAGGTCATCCTATTATAATGGTCATTTATATAGTTTTTACCGGACGTCCTGCAAGACCCCCGAGGTACTGAGGTCTCCCGTCCGGCCCCAGGATGATACCAGGCTCTCCTTTCGCCCCCTAAATAAAAACAACATTTAATGCAAACAATCAGTACAGAATGAGACGAGAAAAACAAACCGATAGTGAGGAAGGCTTTATCTTAAAATTAGCCAAGAAGATACATAAATAAGCTCCGCCAAAGAGTTGTAGTCTTTTCAAGTTTAACAAGATAGTTAAAAACAGGAATAAAAAAAGAACAACAATATGATTGTTATATATTCTAGTCACCTGGATAGGTAAATTAAACAGTTGGTGTTATAAAATATGAATTAAAGTTGGAATAAAGGATGTTATAAAATATGAATTAAAGTTGGAATAAAGAATGTTAATAACATAAATTGTAAGAGTTTTCTTGAAATACGACTCATTGGTAGGACAAATCTATCTTTGCAAGGTATAATTCTGCAACAAAAAACATGCAATATGTATATTTTAATGTGTAATGCGAAATAATTAGTAATAATATACCTTATCTGCATATCCTGGAAGCCCTGTGTCTCCTTTGTCTCCTTTAGGCCCCGAGGGTCCCTAAATCAAAGCACATTAATTACATTATCAAACAGTAATGCACTTCTATTCATTTTCTCATTGTAATTGAACTGTTGAAATGCTACGATAGTAAAAGAGATACATACTGGAAATCCTGCTCGACCTGGAAGACCAGATCCTCCCTGGAGAAGAGAGCGATGACACATGAAGACAACCAACAACAAGTAGTGCAAATGTGTTTAAATAACTTTAGTTTAGTGAGGTTTATGGCGTGCTCAGTTAGGGGGAACTCACCTGTGACCCTCCATTCCAAATCACTTCATTAGACTACAGAGGGAGGTCCGTTAGTGGGGGGGGGGGGTGAACAAACAGCAGCAGGCAGTGACGTTAGTCCACATGATTAAAGTGCAGGCAGTTATGTGAGGGTTACAATCATTTCAAATATCTTTGTTTTAACGGACTCACGTCACTTCTCTGGTAGGTGATTTCTCCTGGTGGTCCGGGGGGCCCTGGAGGCCCCGCTCCCCCCCCGTCACGCCCTGGAAGACCCTGCACACAAAAGGACATAAAACATTGATAAGAAGAGCAAAACACGCATGCATATGTAGAGAAAATGAAATATGTTTATGATTTACATTGTGTATGATGCTAATATTGCTCTTCACTTTCAATATAGTATTTGTCATATTTTACTGTACTCAGTTTCTCACATAATAACATTTTGTGTCAATTTTGTCTTTATTTTTGTACGTTACAATAGTCGTAAAATCGTTTTTTTAAATCGCTTTTATATTAGTATTATTTGTTATGGTTGTTTTGCTTCTTTCTGTGTCTTTGTATACACCATACAGTATACCAAAGCAAATTCCTTGTATTTCTTGTGTAATAAAACTGATTCTGAATAAGCACATGTTGCTACATTTATACAAATGATTCCTGCTTATATAAAGATAAGGTGAAGAGGAAGAAAAAAACATCTTGATTTTACAATCCACACATTGTTTGTCCAACGTAAGGAACTTGAGTATATAGAATAACACATGAATATCATTATATATTGTCTTAGATTAATTATAAGGATTGCATTATAACCTTTCTTTGCTTTAGAAACACTTGTGATCCCAATTCAGACTATTATGACTTTGCTGGATGATAATTGTGCGTTACCTTCTGAATGGCTTACATAAATGACCTCAGAGGGGCGTGGCCAGCAGCAGCTCATTAGCATTTAAAGCTACAGACACAGAATCAGCCCTTTTGAAACAGGGCTGAAACAGAGGGGTTTATGGGATGCTACAATGATCTGTTTGGAGTTTCAGCAGTTCAGAGTCATGTTCTGTATATATCTGAGACCTATAATATACTGTTAAAAAAAGAGTAGAATAGGGGACCTTTACGTTTTTAGGGGGTGTTAACTATGCTAATAACTAATTAAAACTGAATGTACGATGAAGTGGGATTTATTTTTCAGCACACATTGGTTAGAGCGGATTTGAACGGTTAAAAAACTTGGGTGCATTGGAACGGAATTCTCTTATTTCTTGTCTTATAAAAATGTAACTGTCATTCGACTGACCTGCTCTCCTCTCTGTCCTCGGTCTCCCTTATCGCCCTGAAGAAAAGAACACAATCATTAAAACAGGCAAGTGGAAAACTGGAATATCTGTCTCAGAGTCCAGTGGTTTCAAAAACTACAAATCCCAGAATTCATGGTCTCATACCGACTGTCCAAGGAACCCGTCCATTCCTGGCATCCCTGGAGGTCCTCGTGCCCCCTCGGTTCCTTTGTCTCCATGGTTACCGGGCAAACCGGATTTACCCTGAGAATCATAATAAACATCACTGATACTCATAGTCAGGACTGGGGTGATAAACTGATATTTAACCTTCAGAAAAGTTAATATTTTTAGATGCAACTTGCATTGATTCACACAGGGATAACGTTCCATTAATACAAAGCTATATTTAGTGTTGACATTTCATAGAAAGCTACTTATTGCTGTAATGTAAAAATATAAAAACACCCAAGACTCTGTACTTTATCCCATAGGAGATAGTTAGATATGCACATTATGTTTGAAATACACAGGTCTTCTGTACATCTTATGTTTTCCACATATTTAATTATTATAACAGTATTTATTCTACGGTCTTTGAAAATGTCATCTACTCACAGGAAGTCCTGCAATACCATATGGACCCTAGAAGACAGAAGACATGGAAACGTGAGGCACGGCACAGTGTGTGTGTGTGTGTGTGTGTGTGTGTGTGTGTGTGTGTGTGTGTGTGTGTGTGTGTGTGTGTGTGTGTGTGTGTGTGTGTGTGTGTGTGTGTGTGTGTGTGTGTGTGTGTGTGTGTGTGTGTGTGTGTGTGTGTGTGTGTGTGTGTACCTGAGGTCCAGGTGGGCCGGGGAGACCAGCATAGCCGTTGTTCACATCGTACTGATCCTGGTTACTCTGTGAGGAGAGAACATGACGCTTTCTCTCAATAACAAAATCCTTTTTGATACATCAGTACACAAGCTTCAGGAGTAATGGTAAACATGTAGTAGTTAGAATACAACAAAAAGTGGCGGAAAAAATGACAATCAAATACTGATCTATATTAGCAGGTTAACATTTTTTATTTCATTCTAAAATAAGGAACAATAATACTACCACATGCACACATTACAACTGTCCCACAATGCTCTTTAACATTAGAGGAATACATCCTTTTCACATGCCAGTGGTTGATATATAAATATATTATATATGTATATCCTATACACTGGATAGACTCCTTTCCCATTGTCATTATGCACATTAGCAATTCTGATTTTTCTCTCGTGCCCAGAAGCAGGGTTTCCCACATACCGGCCAACATGTTTGCTGTTAACAGGTTTGTTTAATCTTTATTTTGGGAGTATCTTTTGAGGTGTTTCCATCCAAACTCCTTCCATGTCCTTTAGTTTGTGGTGGTGTGTTGTGTTCCTCCATTTCAATGTTTAGTTCCTTCTCCCATTTTCTCTTGATGTAATGGGTAGAAGTATCTCTACATTCTCTTATAGTTTGATATGTAGCGCTGAAGTAGCATTGAGTCTGGTCCGTATGAATATATCAATCACTCCGTTTCAGGATTGTGTTTGTATTTCCTTTATAAAAAATAGTCCCTCAACTGTATATATCTAAAAAAAGTCCTCATTTTCCAACCCATATTTCTCTTTCAAATCCTCAAAACTCATAATATTTCCATTCTTTGTTACTGTACACACCGCTGTGATCCCTTTTTTTTTCAATTTTTAAAGTTTCGACCACTTGTTGGTTGGTTTGAACCTTTTATCATAGCTCAATATTTTAAGCTCTACTCACATTACTTCCTCGGTACCCAGGCCCCGGTGGCCCTGGAGGTCCGGGGGGTCCGACGGGCCCCATGGGACCTGGAAGCCCCGCCAGCCCCGATTGCCCCGAAGTACCCGTCAGACCCAGGTCACCCTGAGACCCCTGAGGACATGGAGACTCCTGTTATTATCTCGCTATAACATGACATTTAATGCAACAGAAGTGAAGAAAAAGGGAAAAAGGCGACATGCAAGAGCTGTGTGCAGATTTAATATAAAGAAGTACGGACACTGAAGTAATGCAAAGATTAAACATTTAATCGTATACATTTCTACACAGCTGTCCAGACATGATTCTGTGTATGTAAAAAAGGATATTTTAACATCTTAGACATTCTACCTGACAAAATTAAACAAATACAAAATATATTTAACAAAAAATCTGAACAAATGTTGCTTAACAATAGAACACACACTGAAAACTACCCAAAAAATGTAATTACATTCTAAACTCAAAGCTAAATTAACAACCAACAAAGAAATATATGGCGTTTCAAAAGTACTGATGTAAGGGAAAGACAAAAAGCAGGAAGGATGAGGTTTCAGAAAGTGGAATACAAGGTGACATTTGGTTAAATATGTTAGTTGGTGAAATGGAATCAGATGAAAGTTTGTGAAAAAGAAATGAAAGCACCAATGCAGAGACCCAATTACCGTAGAGGATGGAGCAAAGTAAGAATACAGGCCCGTGAAAAAGCCTGAGTCTTGCGAGTTTTGCTGGAGGAAGGCAACACATATGAAGGACAGGATATATCTTGAGTCCTCCACCACACCGTTTTCATTTAAGTTCAAGTGCAAAACTTCATTGGATGATAAAATTCAGATTTAACACACCTTTTCTCCAGCTACTCCTGGAAGACCAAGATCCCCACCTTCACCCTGGAGAGGAAATGGATTTAGGAGAAAAGTATAAAATGGATTGTCATAAATAAAAAATGTTCCAATGTTTTTTCCTCTTAGATTCAGTAGTTGACATGTTTACACTCTCACCCTCTCTCCTCCGGGACCAATTGGACCCGGTCTTCCTGGCTGGCCAGGCGGTCCCTGAATAGCATAATAAACAGTCGGGGTTAAACATTTATTTAATATATACATTATTAATTATTATAAGAAATAGTGAAAATAGGTTTCTAGTGGTTCAGGGAACACATATTTCCATATTGTTATTGTGTGACAAACAGATATTCAGTTTTATTTGATTAAAACAATGAAAAGCAGCTGATGTTCACAGTAAGGAACCTGGAAATGCTTTGTTTCTGGCAAATAAAAACTTTTGTAAATGCCAAGTTTCATCAAGTGATATCATATTAATAATTCAGAGAATGATACACAAGCACCAATTCTGCCTGGATTTAAGTAAATTCAAGGACTATATGAAATGATATCATATGCCCATTTACCACAATAAATACATTTATATGAACTTACACATTTTATTTTTTACTAATGGGCTCTTCCAGATATTCAAATAAAATAAGTATGTGTATGTATCAATGTTTTCACTTTAAATGTATGATATTGGATTTGTTATCATCTAATTGATATAATGAAGGACTGTTAAACCTCCAGAAACAATTAGTTGTCAGAGCAATTATTAGCACATAATTATTTTCTGACAACCATCTCATGAATGAAATATGAATCTCTTTAGAGTAAAAAGAGCCTCCTGCTCCTCACCGGTATTCCGGGGACTCCGTCCTGTCCCGGCGGTCCTGGAGGTCCGAAAGCTACCGGGCCGTTGGGTCCCAGTGCCACTGAAGTCCCAGGGGGGCCGGGGGGCCCTGGCAGACCTGGAAGGCCACGTCCACGTCCACCCTGGATAACAAATCATAAACGCATTATGTCATGGAAAAACTCAACTTTAATTACCGACTTTGGAATTATGTTCATTATAATTTGAACAATTTGAATGAAAACCAAGTCAGATCCATGCAAATATGAAATGTGAATAAGATCAGAAATTCCCAAGGGACCGCGAGGCCCCCTGGATAACAAATATCATAGTATTTATGTGGTGGAAAATATAACTTTTGAAAAACTTGGATGATCATCAACTCACCCTGATTTTGTCCGAGTCTGGGAATCCTGAGCCCTCCATGTCAAAAAAGGTCTATCAACACATACAAAAAACAGTTAAGAAGTCTTATAATAAATAAATAATGACAGAAAAGTGTGTTTGACGGTCGACGTACTGGGTGGTCCCCAGTGCCGGTTCCAGGAAGTCCTGGTGGTCCCGGGGCGCCTCTGGGTCCTGGCTGACCCTCTCCAACATTACCCTGGAAACATCACACATGATCACGCTAATTAAATATTTGAAACGTAAAATATGAGTAGTTGAGGGACTATTTATTCGTCCATCCACTCCAACCTTTTCGCCTTTAGAGCCAGCAGTTCCTGGATTTCCTGGAGAACCTTGTGGCCCCGCGGCACCCTGGGAACAGGAGAAGAAGAACTCAATTACACTGCTATTTTTTTTATTATTACCGAATTCTATTTAATAGAAAAATCGGTTCATTAAAAACAAGGCTTACAGCTTTTCCATCCTCTCCTGGATCACCCTGAAAGATAAAAACAATCAGTGAGTGACGTAAATATTTTAAAGAATGTGCACAAATTCTGGAATATCCCATCTTCCTGAACTCACCGGCTCTCCGTCCGTCCCTGCAGGTCCTTGGGCCCCGTTGATCCCCGGGAACCCTGGGGGTCCGGAGGGTCCGGACACCTGCTGCACCACGTCTCCATTACCAAGTCGCACCACCTCAGCTGCAGGGCCGGGGGGGCCAGGGAGCCCAGAGGGCCCCTGAGCCCCGCGCTCTCCTTTATTACCGGAGTAACCGAACCCGGAACTGCCCTGGTGAGGGGTGAGGGGGGGGGGGGAACGGGGACGGTGGAGAATTGAACCGGTCAGTAGAGCTGTTTTTGTATTTTTCTCAAACAGTCATTTTAAAAGTCCTGAATTAATTTTCGATAAATATATTTCTCGCCATTTTTTTTCAACTCAACAAGACAAATACTTATTTACCCCTCAGTCTACTAATTCATTTATTGTGTATTTGAGTACTATGAAAAGTACTCTATATATAAAAAGTATTATCACCATTATTATAATAAAATAAAACTATGACTGATAAGTTAATACTGACATTATATAGTAAAAAGCGTAAATAAATATTCCAAAATGATTATCATATTAAAAAATATTAAGTAGAGATATAATAACACTGAAAAGACATACATAAATACATACAAATTAAATGGATATTAGAGGCATATAACATATCAACATCAACAGAGTCAGGTTACAAAGCTGCTAATGAGAGAGCGCGTGTTATTATTTATATGAATACTTTGAAGTGGGCTTATTCCATTTCTTTAAAAGGGAAGCTGTGTGTTGGAGAGAAAGCCGGTTTGTTTATTATGTCATCAAATCCAGTCTTCACAACCTACTTGACATCACTGTTAACATACCTTCACTCCTTTTTCTCCCTGAAATAAAGAAAAGACAGATATTAAGTAGAGGTATTGTTTGCATCTGATTATACTGGTGCACAGAGTGTTTAGAGTTTCTACCTTCTGTCCTCCGCCCTGAGAAGAGGAGGAGGAGGAGGAGGACCCGGAGGAGGAGGACTCCCCCTTCGGCCCTGCGGGGCCATGGTCCCCCGTTAAGCCCTGGTTCCCTCTGTCTCCTTTCTCCCCTTTAGAACCGGCGGTACCTGAAGGAGGCGTGAGAGAAACTGGTGATGAACGACTGGGTTTTAAAGCCATGCTTCAATATACATCATGCTGAGGACGGCTCCACTTGCAAATGCATGCTGGGAACCAAAGCAAAACACACATACTGACCGCACTTTTTATGCACTCAAAACATATTATTATATTTTTGACAGGAATATCTGACTTTAAAAGGAGAATGAATCAATTAAATCCTTAAAATGAAATGTATTATTTGTATTGGGATGTTTCTCTAGTCATCAGGCATGTCTTTTCCTCTGACTGTGCATAAATCAGGTCATACTGATGATCAGCACATTCATTACTACCACCACCAAACTGCATAATGTACCCTTCATTCTTTAAGAAAAAACCCCAATTATTACTTTAAAGAGTGCACGGAAACACCACAAGCACACTAATCCAAATCTGGTGTTTTGAAATGATGTGAAATAAGGTGATAATAAACAACAGAGGATGAGTTTGTGTCAGTTTCAAGTTTTTACTCAGTGCTTTTTCTCCATCTAGTGGACACATGTAGGTAGAGCAGTGCTTTAGTTAGTTTTTCCGTCAAAGGCCGTCAAAACATAAGATTGCAGTTCATCAAATTACCACAAAGAGAAGTGTAGAATTTGACTGCTTCCACTGAAGCCTGAGGGATGTGGAACAACCAAAATAAAAGAAATCCTCCTCCACCATCATGCTCTCAGCTCCAACATGACATAAACTACAGATCGCTCATTCTATACTGTGATAGGATGGCCGCATGTTGATTAGGACATAATGCTGATTTCAATCTGCATTACTGCCAGCCCCAACACGGTCCTTTTGCCCCCAGAGACCCACCTCTTGGACCAGGTGTTCCGGGCCGGCTGTTACCAACATCCGGCTGCTGATACCTGACATCTAAAGTCATAAAAACACAACTTGAATGTGATGTCTCGGTAATGTCTGCCTTCATTTATTCAATAAGTGACGGGAGAGTTAAGTATCTATTTCAGATCTTAACCCTTGAGGTTAGACAGAGACAGGTAGTTCCATTACCATTCCTGAAAAGTCGTTCATTAAAGCCTTACCGGTGCTCAATATGCAAAACCAGAGAGGACTGGGTTTGAGATTTCCTGTACGTCTAAATTAACCGGGACCAAACTGACATATCTTCAAATTGGCCTTAATTGCTTGCAATAAATGTATTAGTTTAGTATAAAAAAAGTGTGCAAATTCTTGCTATATCCATGTGGCTTTAAGGAATTTCCATGTACAAAAATGATGTCAAATTCAACGTCAAAACCACATCTCTTTGATAAACACCGGTCTGGCTTTACATAGAATATATCGCTCAGCCTGTAGTGGGTTGAAGACCTTAATATTGTCTTTGTTCTACACGTGTACCATGTATTGTCTCTTGTAAACTGTTTTATGTTCGAAAATAATCAATGAATAAAGTATTTATCTGCTAATTGGGGCAAGTTTAAAGCTACTAATCTTCTCTCTTAAAGGTCACCTATTATGCAAAATCCACTTGTTCCTATCTTTTAAACATAAATATGTGTCCATTCTGTGTAAAAAGATTCTGAAAGTTTCAAGAACAAAGACCCCCACTCTTTAAAAACCTGTCCGAAAATGGGCTGATCAGATTTTGTCACAATGTTTTTTTGGGTTGTGTAACCATCAGCCAATCACCAACCAAGGTAACCTTATAACAAGGTAACCTTATCACCTGAATCTCCTCCTAGAGCACCGTTGTGTTTTTTTAACCAATCACTTCTCAGAGGGGCGTGGCCAGCAGAAGCTCATTAGCATTTAAAGCTACAGACACGGAATCAGAACTTTTGGAACAGGGCTGAAACAGAGGGGATTATGAGATGCTACAATGATTTTGGTATTTGGAGCCAAACACTTCAGAGACATGTTCTGTATATATCTGAGACCTATAATATACTGTTGAAAAACAGTATAATAGGGGACCTTTAAATCACTAAAACACTTCCTTAACTATCCACCAGGGGGAGCTAAAGAGCTTAACATGTGAGAAGTATGTTGTAGCCCTGCAGCTAAACTGCTCCCCCCGTCAGGTCCCGACAGGTAGTGATCCACCTTTTTTTGGCAGTGTCTGCTGTATGATTAAAACCTTCCATTACACTTCTCTACACTGTGAGTGTCATGTTGGAAGTCACACACTGCACATGTGTAACTGATGGAAATGAAGAGCTTTTACCTGATTCGCTGAGTCTGTTCCCATGTGAGGGAATCAGAGGGGGGGCAGGAACCGGCCGCAAGGGACGAGGAGTGGTCTGGGAACAGAAAATAATATGATAGTTTCAAATATCTGCAGCATACACTCCCCATTATCAGAAGTATTCAGATTATATATGTACTATGTGTGTCATTGCTCTTATTTCAGGTGAACTCAAGCTGCCACTAAAACTTTGAAATACCAATATTTTATCAACTTGTAACGTAATATTCAACATATTTGCTAAACATTATCCTTCATTATTCTCATAGGAGAGTATTTAAAAACACATACACTGTCTTTACACTCAACTTGATCATGCAACCAGGCTGAATGTTTTATGAAACAAGTTCTAAAATAACTAAAATGTTGGAACTGGCTGGTTATGTGCTTGCAGTTACATGAAAGGTGTGTTGGGAATCCTCCCAGCATGCACTATGGCGGGATTAAAGGACATAATTATCATGTTATACGTGTGTCTACATTATAAGGGATCTATATTGCAAGAACAAACAGTTTTACAACATACTGATGCAATATATTACAAATATAAAGAAAGAATTGGGGTATAAAACCAGCTGTCACATTACAAAACACAAATGTATTTACACACATTCATATAAAATAACCTGTAAGTATTGTATCAAGTAGACATTTCATTTAAATGACTTTACTGACCTTAACAGTGTGTCCTGTCTGTCTCCGCTCGCCGTCACCGCTGCCGAAGTCACCAGACGCCTGCGAGACAAAGTGAAGGGAAAAAAGTGACACAAATGCCTTTTTCAAACAATTTGAAAGAAATAATTAAAAACCGAAATACTCACAGCGTCAGAGTCGTCCTCGTCGTCACACAAACGCTCCGCTGCACGATGGTTCCCCACCACTTTCAGATCTAGAATCACACCCTAGAAAAAACACAATTTACACACATTTACAGTGACTCATTGTTTGCAGTCATGCTTTCTCTATAAGCTGCAAAGAGATGGAAAATATGTGAAATGACTCATGCAGAGCTATGTGAATGACCTTCTTAAATCCTCAACCAGCGGCCATTCTCTGGATATTTAACACGATGCACACTGTGAAGACTTTATGATGCATACAAAGTGAGAATACTCAGCCTTGGAGACCAGTGTATGTCCTTTAAAGAGTTTTTTGTGCTTCATTTTGGCCAGTTTAAGTTCTTCACAAATCATAGTCATTTCTTCTCCACTTTAAAGGCCATGCGAGTGTCACATGTGGTCACTGACGGGATGCCAGCAGAAAGGTCAGAGGTCAAAAAGGTGGAAGGGTCATCTGATAGATTTACAAGAGGAGTGTTCATTCTGCCCTTCCTGTTGCCTATGACCTAGCACACCTGCAGTGAGGTGCCACTGGGAGATATTAAAGAGGAGAAGAGGTCACACAAACACCTGCTCTTTCAGCACATAGTGAATTATTCTGACTTTTCCCAGTCTCATGGGTGACATTTGGATGAGGATTCCTCGCTGTTTTTCATTCATTACTGTCAGAAATGTGATGAGCAAACATCTCATCAGCACTTGAGCATTTCCTCTGCTGGCACCCTGGAGTTTAGGTTAAAAAAAAATGGACTTCTCTTCCAAATTCCAGTGTGCAAATTAGGTGCATCTCCAAAATACAGATTTTATAGTCGGTAAAAGTTAGTTCTGCGCTTCAGTTACACAGCACATGTTGTTTATTCTTTGTTGAATATGCTCCAATTCTGAATGGGAATCATCCAACATCACTTTTAAGGATAAACATTTTTGAAAGTGGCTCCACCAAGCGCAGCTGAGAAATGCAGCCTTGTTTTGTCCAAATGTGGAAGATAAACAGGATAAAACAGGATAAGCTCGTAAGTCTGGGAACAACATTTCCCACATTAAGATCTGACAGTCAGTAAACACTGAGTGAATCAAAAATCAAACAACACTGAAGGACACATGGAACTAAAATATGTTGGAGCTTCTCCGACTTATTACTTTCAGGAAATAAAGATTTGTTGAAGAGTTCGGGAAAATGTCAAACCTTTCTTGAGAAGCTGATATTTTGGATAACAGTCTCATAAATGAGTTGCCTACCTTGGGCTGGGGGATAAATCATTATTATATGGATAATGTAATATGACACTAGATATCATCTGTGAATGATCTTCTTAAAATCTTTCACCAGGGGCCTTATAATGGCTGTTAAACATACAGCACATCATTTGAAGTCAAGGTGGGCATCATGAGGCTAAATGGTGAGAATATTCTTGATGAGAAACCACTTTATGTCCTTAAAGAAGTTTTATTTTGGCAAATAAAGCCCATAGATGCAGCTCTGAATAGAAGATTTCATTATATTTTGGAGTTCTATCCCATGTTAACTTCTTATCCACTACTTTTTTTTCCGAAGATTACCTTGAACTTGTCAGCGTCGGCCCCCCCCCGCCTGCCCCACAAAGATCCCGGCCCCCGCGTCCAGCTCCATGGGGTCGGGGGAGCGCTCGAACTTGACCACCTGGGGCTCCGAGTCGCAGCCCTGGTAGAAAGTGACCTGCTCGTCGAAGACGGACAACGAGAAGCGGCTCCAGGTCTCCACCATGCTGGGCACCTCGAAGCTGGCGGCCTCGTACGAAGCCTCCGAGCCGGGCTCGGTGTAGAAGAACTGCACCCTCTGGCGGCCATTCTGCACCGCGCTCAGCTTCACGCCCACGTACATGATCTTCTGAGGCCCGTCGGTGATGGAGAACAGCACCGAGGCGTCGGGGGAGGTGGGCTTGATGTGGAATACGAGGGAGAAGTGGCGGTGGAAGGGGTTGGGGATGTGGGCCAGAGCCGGCTGGCCCGACACCGACGCCCGGTTGAAGATGAAGCCCGGCTCCCCCCTGGGTCCAGTCACCCTGGGGATCTCATCCGGAGGGGGGTCTCCGATCAGCTGCAGCAAAGAGACGCCGCTCTCCTCTGCAGGAAGGAGGAATGGGAAAAGATTTTGAGACATTAGGTGGAAAGATATACAAAATAAATAAAAGAGGTTTCTTTAAAGGAAGTTGTTAATACATGAAGGAAGTAGTAAAGAGCAATAAAATGGCAAATCTGAGATAAAAAAAAGGGACAACCCTGTTAATGAGAAGTCAAATGTAACTTATTTGGTGGGCTCTCCAAAAATCCTTTCAATATGGCACGTATTGTGCTATATTTCACCCAAAAATGTAAAATATGTGTCCAAAAAAGTACATTTTCTAGAGTTTATATAGAGTTTACTATGTGCACTTGAACGCAACATGAGTACCAAAGACAGGGTCAGTTTAAAGCACAGAAATGATCAGCAATCTTTGGAGAGAAAAACTTAGAAAAAGTGAATGATTATAGTTAAAAAGTATAAATATAGAAGGCATTAACAGTCTATAAGAAAATATTGTAGATATCCAGGAGCTATAATTGAAAAAAAGTAATTTCTTCTCATGTTTTTACAGGTTTTAGGACAAAATGCAGGTTATGACATGTTAAAACTTGTTAAATGCCACAGATTTTAACAGCAGGAAGCAGGATAAGTTAAGAAACCGTCACAGATCTACTGATCCGTGACGGGTGCCCCTGCATCAACAAACACTAAACCACAGTGACCCTGCAGGTCAGACCCTAACCACACAGCAGTGGTCAGTGCGCTGTGAAGAGGTAAAAGTGCACGAAACTAAGTGCTATTGAGAATCAAGTTCCATGCCAGTGTCTGTGAGACTTGGGGGGGGGGGGGGGGGGGGGGGATTAATGGAAAAACTGCTGATGTTTCAGTTCCCATACAGTCGTACGGCCCCAGAGACAGACAGATAATATTCTCATAAATCTCCATCACCAGGGAGGAAGCCTTTCATCCCGGCGGACACTTCCACTCCTGGGGGGGGCCTGTCAGCGCAGATTCACAAGAGACAATGTGTGCTTTAAAGGGTCAGAGGTCAGGGGTCAGGGGGGGTTCCCAAAGTTTATTAATGATGTAAATATAGATAACTGTTTAAGTAAAAAAAAAACTAGAGGAAGCTGTAACTCTGACACAGACCAGCTGGGAGAAATGAAAACATCATAATGGAGGTTCACACTACTTTGAGTACAGAAAATAGAAGCATATTGTTGCTAAATTTGGCTGAAAAGGAGAATTAGAAGCCAAACTTGGACTCTATGTGTGTCTTAAAAATGACAATCTAACACAATTTGTAATTACTGATTAATCTGCACAGTATTTTTGCATTTAAAATATTGTTTGACGGAAAATGACAGAACAAATCCCACAATGTATTTGCTTCAAACTGCTTTGTCTGACCAAGAATAGAAAATGCATATTACAATTTTGATTACATTTGATAAAGAAAAGGAAGAAATTCTCTTTTTTCCTAAAAACAAATTAAATGTGGAACTATCCATTGATTGTCGACATTATTTTAGCCTTAAAGGGAGACAAAAGAATCAGAAAAAGGAAAAGCACATTCTTCTAAATGATAACTGACTGAGCTTTCTGTTCCTTTTACTTTATATTTCCTCTAAAGTTTTAAATGCGTGTTTGGACAGGATATTGCGTCATCCTTCTGGCAGTTACCTAACCTCAGAAATGTTCTGACACCTTCTCACCTGCTGAGAGGAAACACTCCAGCATGGAAAGTTATTCAGGGGACAATCAGCTCATAACACACTGCACATCTGAACCTGCTAACCTAGCGCTGGCAGGGAGTAAAACACATGTTCTCTCACACACACACTTTTGTACACAGTCCTAAGCCTGTGGGATTTGGTCCAATTGGAGCAGGTCTCGCCGGGTGGTCAGCTTCCCACTGTGGGCACCTGCTATTGGTTAATCTCAGAGACACAGCTGCTGCAGCTGCTGGGTAACATTATGAAATTAAAAGTTTGATATCTGACAAAAAAGGGAAATGTCATCTTCTGCAGCAGCATGTGAAATGTGGTGTTGTGGTTTTATTCAAGATCCTGTTTCACTTCACATCTGGAAGCTATCCAACTGAAGCAAAGTATTCCATCCAACATCTACGCACGCTTTTCTAATATCAGGGTTCGCAATCTTGGTCTCAGGCTCTATGTTTGTCCATGTGAACCAAAAAATGCAAAAGCAAGCAAAGAAGACCAACTAATCTGAAGCCATTTCTCCAAAGCTTCTGGATAATTTCACCCATTTGGGCCAATTATAATAAAATACACAAAGATACCACCATTATTATGTATTAGTCCAGCTGTTAATGCTACAACATATACTTTTTTAGACACAAGGGTGTCTCCATCCTTATGTTTACTGACTGTTCCTGCAGCAACAGCCCGTTAACTCTTACTTCATGCAAGTGATCAGCTGTTTCTCTCACTTGGCTGCCCCCCAGAGGACGCCTGACCCCCAAACGTGTGAACCTTGCCTCCGAAACAACCCTGCTGATGGCTCCCGTCTCCGCCCTTTTGCACCCAGAGGAACAACCTGAAGCAGTGCCTGAAGGCATGGGCACATAAAAATGACCTCATGTATTCTGTTTCACAGGATTTACTTAAGTGCCATGTCTCTGTTTTCCAACTTTAACCCCCCGGAGAAATCCAATGCCTGTTTAACCGTGTGAACACGTTGCCAGTGGAGAGAGCCACAGACAGATGGAGGCAGAGGGAGGAAATGCGTGTCAGATGTCCATGGGAAAGAGGCTCCAGGATGAAGCACACAAGCTGACTCTGTCCCAGAAGTCTGCACGGACACTACAGGCCAGTGGAAACAGGCTGAAATGTCATTGTGAGGCTGATGGACTTAGGAGTGCATCCTCAGGGGGGGAAACATAAACACAAAAAAAAGAGGTACAAAAAAGACCTGCCATAGAAAAGAGTTTGTATCACACTTTTAATGGTCTCAAGAAATTGCCCCCAGATTTAAGGGTGTAAGGTTTCTGGCATGATCGACTAGATTTTCAGTCCTGTGTTTGGTTTAGGTTCAGGCTAAACAAAGCAAAAGTGTAGTTATAAGTAGTAAATAAGTTCAAATAGACCTGTAATGATGAATCAATTACTTGCAAACTATTAAATAAATTAGCAACTAGTGCTCTGTGAGTGTATTGCTGATATATTTACTATGTGTTAACTAAATCTGAAGATGAAGGTGCATGTCATCCAAAAACAAATATGCCAGAAACATGCACATGGAATAGAAAGTGCTTAGTAACAACATAAATATTGGATTGGTGGCAACAGAACTCGTCATAAAAGGTCTTCCAGCTCAATTGCAACCTAAAATGTCTATGTTCAAACTCAAAACCCTCTCATTCCTGCTCAATAATTACACAAAAGTATTCTTATTATTCTATGAGCATAGGTTTGTTTTGTTGCATGCCAAAGGTTGAAGAACATTAGACCATTATTAAATGATGCCTCATCCAGAGGAGCGGCACACTGCAGCCCATAAAAGGAAAAGTAAGCGGAGAAATAACAAGGTAATTTAATCGACTAATATGCAAGGAATCCGAGTCATTTAAACACTTCAGACAGCCTACATCTACCTCAGAACTAGGGCTGCAACTAACATTTCATAATATTGATAGAAAATGTCAGAAAAGAGTACAAAAATGTCTATATATTAGGTCCTATATGTCTTGTTTTGCCCAAATATACTCACTATAATATGAATTAAATCACAGAAAACAGCATTTTCTGACATTTCTGCATGAAAAATTAGTAATCTATGAATATTAGTCGACTAATAGTTGCTTAAGAAACCTAAATCTGTACCGTCTCAGTTACAACGTTATCAGTCCCAGTTGTAGTTCTACTCTCTGGGGACAGAAGCAACTGGACTTCACACGTCTGAAGAAAGATTGGCTTCAGTTAGCGCTTCAGACGGAGGCGGCACAGCTGTGACATGTACGGCCTCCGACAGACTTTAATCCGTGTAAACTGTGAGCTGAGAGCAAATTAAAGCTGACTGATGGGGGATCAGCGAGGGGCTCGGATGACATCAGCTGGATTTCTTTTAAATCCAGCATTTCTGAAGATTTGAAATAGTGTGGTGTCTTGGCTGCTGTCCAAATGAAATGTTGTTTCTGTGTGAAGGATGTATTTGGGCAGAGGGGAGAAATGTTGTAACAGGTACCATCAACTATCAGCACTACTGGAATGTGTGCATGCTCAAACATCGGACCATACGATTTGAATGCTTCTGAAACTATAGTTGCAGACACAAATAAGCTCCAGAGACAAACAAAAATCCTGTCTTTAGTAAGTCTCAAGCTCCAAAAACGTTTGATCGTACTCTTTGAACACCGCAAAGTGTTTTCGTTATAAAGAAATCAGACATCTTAAGAAAATATCCTCGCTTTTTTGAAGAGCTGCATAAGAAGATTGATACAATTTCATGCATCTATGTTAAATATGAAGGTAAAACCAGCAGATAGGTAGCTTAGCTTAGCATAAAGACTGAAAACAAGGGGAAACAGCTTGAGTACAGGCTGAATATTACCACCATGACCAAAAAAACTGACTTATGTTTGTAGAAATTAGTGCTTTTTACTTTAAGCTTTATTTGAGTTTTCTCACATACTGTTTTCCACTCTGGCAGCTGTTTCTGCTGCAGGCACCAGCTCACCACTAACTAGCAAACAGGAAGTGCCCAAATTAGCGACACATAAATGCAAATGGGCCCAATATGGAGCTTAAAGCGATTAAAAGTGTTTTTGAATCACTTTCCCCAAAAGACAGGGTAATTCCCGCTGTTAAAAAAAGCTTCTTTCACTCTTTGTCTCTGCTCTGCTTCAAATGCTCGGCGGAACTCTTAATTATCACCCGTCAAGTGTTTCTGGTTTGAGAGGGTAGGCGAATGCCCCGTGACCTCTGACCTCTGGCGGAGACTTCGTGCCGCCCAGTCTCATCCCAGTCACAAGGCCCTCTTGTTATTTACAGCGACACCGTTGGCCTTTCTTCCAATCCGAAGCACACAATCGCCACACTCTTTCATCGGGAGCGACCATTTTCCCACCCACAGCCGCCATCATAAATGCCATCCGCTGCCCATCCTCCCCCCCCCCCCCCCACAGATGGTCCAATTGTTTCCCCTCTCCGTGTGACTCCAGAGAAGCATTCGCCTCTTAAATCCATGCAGAAATCCACGCCAGCTGATCAGAAAATGTTCAAATATGATAAGCAGATAAGCCAGGGTAGAAAAACGCAAGGGTAGGATGTGACGGGTTATTGTTCTAACCCATTTCTCAAATTCTAATGAAGAATAGAGCATAAAGTCAATTATAGCAATTGACAACATGAAGAAGTGACCATTATTTACAATATATAGAACTTATATGGCGCATTTCCACTACAGTGCGGAGTGCGGATTAAGCCGTGCCCGGCCCATTTTTGGTTGCGTTTCCACTAGGCGTAGTTCCGGCGAGCGGGTACTTTTTCACAGTTTTCTGGCTCTCCAAAATCGAGGTTCTTTCCGGGCCAACAACCGGGCTGAGTATGTTAAACTAGTGAGAGAATCGCTGGCAACTACAACAAAATGAACATATTTTACCGTGATTTAATTGTAATACACGTTTCAAAATGATGCCGAAGTAACAACATACTGATACCGGTTAGTAAAAACCATGAATTAATGCTTTGACAAGTCTGCAGACAGACGGCAGGCGAAACACCTTTTAAAATGCGTGTTTTCTGAATGGAGATTGGCTAAGCTAACGCAGTATATGCTCCGACCGTCCACACTCACAACAACTTTTGTCTAGTTTCTGAACAGATATGAGGAGCTGTGAGCTCTGAGGGCTAACAGTTAACGGCTGATGTTGGTTTTGTGGTTCGCATTGAAGATGACGTCACGGCTCCGCCTACACTGCGTTACTATAGTTACTGCCCCAACTAGTAAACTGTAATGGAAACGCAGCATAAAGTGAGCCTGGCCTACCAAGGCCTAACTATACCGTACTAAGCCGTGCGAGGCCCTGCAGTGGAAATTTTCATTTTTCATTTAATCGTTTATTTGAACAGGGTCAATGCACATTAATGAACACTTTAGACAAATAATGCTTCAAGTGTAAATATGCCGGATTTTAGCTTTGAGCTCATTTCCATCCGTAGTCCCTGACATACAACATATAAGAACATGACATTTGTAAACATAGCAAAAAATAAATACATGATATGCAAAAGAGCAAGAGCAGCACACACAAGTATTTACCACATGGCAGTACACTATAGCAGCTACGACATATTAAGTGCAGGAGATGATACAAGAGATGCATAAAGTGCAAGAGGAGAGACCCCTGTGTTAAAGTGCATTTAGCGGTGATTGCACGTCTGGTTGTTTCTCAACCATTCTTTGAGTTGACCTTTAAAACTATTGGGAGTGGGACAATCCCGTATCTGAGTTGGGAGGCTAATCCAGAATGAGCTGCCTTTAATGGAAAGTACATTTTGTCCAAAAGTGGTCCGTCTGCGGTGCGCCAATACATCTCTGAAAAGCTCATTTAGATGTTGTTTTAGTCTGCTAAAATAATGACTGTTTTCTGTGTGGGTTACTGAATGAGGTAGCTAACGCAGGTGTTTGGAAATTCTCACCCCATAAAAAACGAATTGACGTCTCATACCCTGTACTGTATAAGGTAAGAAGCTACTTTCCCTACATCTCGATAATTATAATAATTCAGGGAACATTCAGTATATACAGGAGTTAAACACACACTCATTCAACACACTTATCTGTGTTTAACAGCTCCCCAAATCTTAGCATATGGTTTATGTCTCAGGTTCAAAGGTTATCCAAACATGAGCCCTTCTGTACATGGAAAATAACCCAGAACATTTACATGACATATTCCTGTGGGAAAACACATGATAAAGAGGGTTTAATGTAGAAAAGTTCACGAGGAACCAATGGAGAAACACTATGGCGGTAATGAAGTCTCCATACTGCAGGATTTATGACGCCACTGGACATGGGCCTCTTGAGCATTTCCTGTTTCAGGGTTTATACTAGGGAGAGGGCTTCTGTACTGTGTGTATCATATGTATTTCCTGTATGTCTAAGTGTAAATGGACTAGGAAACACTTGAGTAAATGTAGGGTATCATTTCCAATACTGATTATTGTAAAACTAAATGAGGAAAAATGCAAAGGCCTAACAAAATATTCCATTATGTGGATTTCAAGTCCATTCTGGTTGCATTTAAAACTTTAATCAACCATTAAGTACATTTACTTAAAGGTGGGGTATGTAATTTTGGAGAAACCAGCTTGAGTGCGCTAGAATTTGAAAGTTTGCCTCTTCCTTCAGACTTCCTTACAGAGCCCCTCCTCCAACACACACGAACGCGCACATGACCAATGAGGGCACGAGATAAGTTTGTGCACGAGATGGAAGGCTGACAGGCAGGTAGGCCATCCAGTTATTTTAGCCGGGCCGGCTCAGATGATTGGTCGTGCTTTTTACAGCGCCACGGCTTCCACAGATGACATTTTTTTATGTAGTTTTTGTCAAAGCATTTAATATATTCATTGCTATCGGGATGTTGAGAGCATTCCATGGAATATAACATTCTGAAATAAATTACATACCCCACCTTTAAGTACTGTCCTTAAGTACAATTTGAGGTACTTTACTACAATTCTACACTATTTTATACTCTACTTAACTACATTTAGGAAGCAAATATTTATGTATGTAAATAAAATGAATGCAGTAGTTTTACTGGTATTTCTACACAGTGGTATCAATAGAAATACCATTGCTGTCCATTGCTGACATACAAAACGCTGCTTGCATTTGACACACAATCACATGAATGGCATGCAGCCGGGGGCACAACGTGAACTCGGGAGCATCATGCGCTTTTCTAAACGACGCCAGAAAGCAACACAACAACAACGACTGCAAACATCACTGCTGGTTCTGCGTGTTTGGACCCATTCATTGCACACTTGTACTTTACATTATTGGCAACCATTTTTCCACCTTAAAAGGCATTATTAAGTTTAATGCATGTGTTGGAAAAATTCTACTTGCAGGGACTTGTCTGAGTTAGAGCATTCATCTGTGTCAAACCTCATGTCTACTTTTATCAATAAATCAAATCAATATGCACATACAAAACGACGATGAAACAGACATGATCCTAACTGTGATGGATGACTGAAACTCAAGAAGGATGAGCTAAACTGCCCCCAAAAACACCAAACCCACCTGAATGTCTGACAGATTGGTCAGTTGCATTGTGGGTAATGTTGGCACCAGGCTTTGATCAGAAAAATGAATACAAAAAGACTACAGTATGTCTCGGGTTGTGCTGCATTTGGTCTTTTTCAAGTCTAAAATGTTATACAGTAGGTGTGCACAAAGTTGATTATTAGAAGTGAAAATGTGCAATTCAAATATTTTAAACACTATATATGGTTTTAAAGGTCCCCTATTATACTGTTTTTCATCAATATATCACAGGTCTCAGATATATACAGAACATGTCTCTGATTTGCTGAAACACCAAACAGATCATTGCAGCATTCCATAATCCCCTCTGTTTCAGCCCTGTTTCCAAAGTGCTGATTCTCTGTCTGTTACTTTAGATGAAAATAAGGAGCCCCTCCCCACGCCTCTCTGAGAGATATTTGGTTAAAAAGAAAACAATGGAGCTCTAGGAGATTCAGGTGATAAGGTGTGTGGGGGGGGGGGGGTTACCTTGGTTGGTTATTGGCTAATGGTTACACAAGCCATCATAAAGTGGCCAAAATCTGATCAGCTCATTTTCAGACAGGTTTTTATATAAATGGATCAGGACAAAAAGAGAGAGAATCTTTTTTCCTGAAACTTCAGAATCTCTTTACACAGAGGGGACACATGTTGATGTAGAAGAGACATGACAAAGTGGATTTTGCATAATAGGTGACCTTTAAACACTATATATGGTTTTAATGATGGTCATCTGTAATGTAAAGTACTTGTTCAATTGCTTTAAAATGGCTAAAAACATGCAAAATCATGTTTAAAGTGAATGAAAAGGATCCATAACACCGAATATTTGCTTAAACATGTGAGTCTCCAAACAAGCACCGCACAAACACACAGACTAACGCTCAAACAACGACAAAAACTGACGTGACATCGGGGTTGAAAATGTATGGCCACACGGGATACATTCTAACCCGCCGTTACCTTTCAGGTTACTAACGGACGCGCACGCGGGACCCCCGGGCTCCTGCCCCCCGTCCGGCAGGAGGTGACACTCCACGGGGAGACGCCCGTCCTCCAGAGACGCCCAGCAGCTGTCCTGCAGCACCTGGCAGAAGCTGCGGCAGGGCAGGTAGGGGGGTGGGGGGGCCGTGCAGCGGGGGGCCAGCAGGAGGCAGAGGAACCACTCGGCGCCGTGGTGACACCCCAATTTTGTGAGCCATGCCCACTCCTGTAGGACCGCCCCCACCTCCTCCACAGACGTGTGGTTGAAAAAGTTGGGCAGCGTGAATGATTCGGGACGTTTGCCGGAGCAAATGGGCCAATCAGAAGGCACCGGGAGACAAGCATTGAAGCGACTATCATGGGGTGGAAAATCCAAAACACCCAAAAAAGTCTCATTGATTTTAGACACCATTTCATCACCATTTAAAACTGATTCTACACCATCCCCCTCCTCCTCCTCCACCCTCTCCCCTCTGACCCCGTTAGCATTACCGGTGGTGTTAGGGTTAGCGCTCTCCACCTTCTGTGTGGGGCCTCCGTTAGTAGTCCCGGGGGTCGGGGTCACGTCCCACGCCGCCACAAACTTACGGATTCCCGTGGCCACGTTGAGGATTTCATCCCCAACCCCAGACAAGTTGTCGTCCTCCTCCTCCTCCTCCTCCAGGTTCTTCTGAGTTGCGTTGGGGGCACCTGTCGTTCCCGATGGTGCCGGCTCAATGGAGGTTGATGTTGTGGGTTCTGGTCCTTTGGACCAGAACCAGGCGTCCGAGCTCCAGGCAAAAAAAGCCAGGAGAAGGAGCAACGTCTTCATCCTCAACATGGTTCCTCGGAGTGTATCTCCTCCACTCTCTGTTCCCCCACCTGTTAGTCAGCCGGTCAACAGTTAAATCCAAGCTGCTGTTCAAGGGCCACTGAGCATCCACTGAATGAAAAGCAACACATAAAAACTCCAAAGACCCTCCCTCTACATCTCCCACACTCACGAACAAGCACAGGGGGGGGGGGGATTTCAAGTGCAGAGGCAGGCTTGCTTCACTGATGATAGATGCCATTGGTTATACAAGTTTACCCTGAATACACAAAAACTCCTCCCCTGTTTGAGTTGATGAGTGGGTCCCCGAAGACTCACTGCAGCGTGCAGGAAAAGCATGCAAGCCTTCATGTTACCACAGCAACACACCCGCACAGCATGGAAATAACCTAAATATGGAGTTTTAAATACATGTATAGGACATAATAAACAGTGTGTAGAGATGGGCAAGACTCTGGAGTTCAGATGCAAGTACTTCAGAAGCAGTACAACATGTACTGTGTGTTTTTACAGTAATGTTTGGCCTGTGAGCAGAAGAGAGGTTATTGCATTGGTAGGAAAATGCATGAATATATTTGAAAAAATGCAACTAAATGGGGTTACAAGATTAATCGAAGGGGTCGCCAGAGTAGAAATAGACAAAATATATATATACTGAATATTCATGTCTTAAAAAGGCAAAAGAGAGGTCATTGCATTGGATGGCAAAAAAGCTATTTATTTGAATAAATGCAAACAAAAGTAATAATAGTAAGTGGTTTCCCTACCAGAGGTCGTATGATTAATCTATGGTGTTGCCAGGGTAGAAAATACAAAACATTTTTTGGACTTTACATTCTTTCTCGCAAATTTCTTTACATTTTCCTCCCACTCAAATTGACCAAGGATGAGGGCCCAAAGAAATCCCAAAGAATGTACTCATCAGCTGACAGGTTAAGGTAGCTCTGAGGTTAGAGTTGAGCCTGACCTGGAGCATGAAGAGAAATTATCTCATTTGTTGTTTCAAACAACAAAAACACAGAGAGTGCTTGTGTTAGTAACACAACACGGGCATGTCGGTGTGATTTATTATCATGGGTGAAAATGAGTCATACGTGATGGTGTGTACGATACACTCTGTGATGGGTGAGGAGCAGCGGGAGTGAGAGGCATGAATGAAGGACAGCAGCTGAGAGAGGGAGGGCGTATCTGATTAAACTTCTTAAGCTCAACTCCCCTGGGACAGACTCCATTGCCTCATCGCAGAAAATCCTCGGAAAATGTCCCACTTCCAGGTTCTCACAGATAAGGGATGGAGGGATCTCCCCCTCCCATCGGCCCTGTGTGCCCCCATCCTGCAGCGATCGCCTCATCTGCCAAGCAAGGACATCCAGCTGTTCCACATTCCAGCCCGCAGACCTCCCACACCCACGCTGCATGACATTTGGAGGTTTCCACATTTTGATAATGTGTGCATTCATACTGCTGTACTAATGCTATGCAGGACTGGAAAAGATTGGGTGCTTTGGGGAGTGTGTGAAAGCCAGCTGTTGAGGGCTAGCGCTCCAACACATTGTACGTGATAGGCTAAGGGGCGGGACATATAAGTGGTTGACCAATCCAAGGCCGTAACCATGAAGTCAACATTGGGGGGGACGAAAACATTTGAATACTAATTTCCTGCCATTCTAAAAGAAAATATATAGAAATGGGGGGGGGGACATTTTGAGCGTATCTGAATATTGGGGGGGATGTGTGTCCCCCAGTCCTCTCCTGGTACAGCATTATGCACACGTACATATGCAAACAGCTGTATACAGTACATTCCAGCACATTCCAGCACATTCCCTCTCTCAGCAGCTCTGGTTCCAGACAGAGGGTGAAAAGAGGTGCTGCAGCACAGATAGTATGAGAAAAATAAAGAGCTTTTTGAACATTAAAGCATGGAGACATGTCCCAGGAGAGACACTACATACTGATATACACCTGAACATCAGCAGGAGAGGACTCTTTAAAGTAGAGACACTACATACTGATATACACCTGAACATCAGCAGGAGAGGACTCTTTAAAGTAGAGACACTACATACTGATATACACCTGAACATCAGCAGGAGAGGACTCTTTAAAGTAGAGACACTACATACTGATATACACCTGAACATCAGCAGGAGAGGACTCTTTAAAGTAGAGACACTACATACTGATATACACCTGAACATCAGCAGGAGAGGACTCTTTAAAGTAGAGACACTACATACTGATATACACCTGAACATCAGCAGGAGAGGACTCTTTAAAGTAGAGACACTACATACTGATATACACCTGAACATCAGCAGGAGAGGACTCTTTAAAGTAGAGACACTACATACTGATATACACCTGAACATCAGCAGGAGAGGACTCTTTAAAGTAGAGACACTACATACTGATATACACCTGAACATCAGCAGGAGAGGACTCTTTAAAGTAGAGACACTACATACTGATATACACCTGAACATCAGCAGGAGAGGACTCTTTAAAGTAGAGACACTACAGACTGATATACACCTGAACATCAGCATGAGAGGACTCTTTAAAGTAGAGACACTACATACTGATATACACCTGAACATCAGCAGGAGAGGACTCTTTAAAAGTAGAGACATGACAGACTAATATACACCTGAACATCAGCAGGAGAGGACTCTTTAAAGTAGAGACACTACAGACTGATATACACCTGAACATCAGCATGAGAGGACTCTTTAAAGTAGAGACACTACATACTTATATACACCTGAACATCAGCAGGAGAGGACTCTTTAAAGTAGAGACACTGAGTATGAGTTCTCCAAGTGAATATCAACAGGTTAAAGCGACTTATTGAAGAGTTGTGTTTTTTATCTTCATGATCTGGGACAGACGAGCAAAGAAAAAGTAAATTAAAAGCGTCTGATCTTGCAGAAACAAATGCAAATTGAAAGTTTAGCTTAAAATGATCTTTGACAGTACATAGAGGCCTTTTCATAAGAGGCTAAACATTCAAACTATGCACCACAAAGCATGCAACACTAACTGACAAATGATTGAAGAAAAGCTCATATGTCTCAGTCTTGCAGTAATTACCAAAAGCAATTACAGAGTTGTGTGTTTGGGTAAAACCAGACTTCCTTTCTAGCTGTTTTCTTTATGTGTTTTTGCCTAAATTGATTGTGCTATGAGGTTTTTTCCTTTCCCTCACCACAGCAGATTAGTCAAAAGCACCAGAAGCATCAGAAATTGGTCATTCATGACAATAAATGTGGATACTTTTGATGTGAGAAAGCACAATTCTTACCACCTGAGAGAGAAATATATATCAGGTCAAACACATCTTCCTTGATAAGATCTTCCCATGGTGCGTTCATGTGCATCACACTAGTCGATAAATCACCAGAGATGGCCTGCAGGCTCTCCCACATATTAACCCTCCCTGCATGTTTCATCACTATGGGCTGTCAGCGGCGGTGACCTGCACAGGGCCGTGAGCAGGGTAAGTAAACACACCACGGCATTAAGCTGTGGAGTTACTCAATGTCAGTTTATGAAGGCACCTGGTGCAGCATTATGCACACGTACATATGCAAACAGCTGTATACAGTACATTCCAGCACCACAGCTGCACATTAACCATAGAAGTCTGTCTTAATCACAAAACAGTTATATAGCATCCGTTTTGAGCTACTTTGTCAGAGCATTGAGAAATATTTGAAAAAAAGGTCATAAAAAAAAAGGAACTGTATAAATTACAGCTGTGGAAAATTAGCAGAGTGATTAAATCTCCCCTAACCACAAATAATCGCCATGGCAACCAGATTTCTGAAAACAGAATTTTCAAAGACCATTTAAATGCTCCTTTTAGATTTTAAGGACCCACAGAAACCCTGAAGTTGGTGTGTGTTCCTTCCTAAGCCTGCAAAAACATCACTCTAAATTCAACTTAACTAAGGCCCTTGTTAAGGCTGTTGATTAAACATCTCCATATATGGAATAAAGTGAGGATATGGTGATAAAGAGTTCAGGATTTTATCACAGTCACTTGCATTTCCATCTTTACAACTTGTCAGACTCAAACACTAAATCATACAGACCACCAACTTAAAGGTACGCATACTTTCAGAGCCATTTAACTTTCCTTTGCCCCATTTCTATTTGTTTGTTGAGACTTTTCTCCTTATCTATAAAAGTTCCAGGATGATGGGAGCACATGTTTCTGTTTCTGAGGGACAGAAGCTCTCCGGTTAATTGGTGTATCATGTTTCTGTCTCTTCTCCCACAGGGATACTACGCAGTTCACACGCTCACATGTATGTTCTCTCACTGTGAAACACACTGAGGAAGCACAGGCTCAATATTTACACCGTGAGCTCATGTGTTCTGGTACTTTGTTAGAAGTATTATTTTAGTTAGTGGCAGAGTTGTTAAGTGACATTTTGGGGTGTTACAGTATCATGAAAAAGTGAGAGAATTAATGTGAGGCTTTAAAGTAAAGGCTGCACCAAGGAAAATATGCCATAAAGATCACCATGTATATAACTTGTGATAAAAAATAAGGAAAAATAAATACTGATACTAATTTCTAACTTACAAAAAAAATTGAAATACACAGTCTTTCCGGATATGTTTATCACAGGATGACATGTTGTGAATACAAATGATATATTGTGCAGCCATATGTTTGATTGTAGATACATAAGAATAAGATTTAGTGATACTTGAAGGGAAGTTTGCAAATTACAACAGCTCACTGTCTCATATTCACAGTACCCTTATGAACCAGCAGATGGCAGCAGAGACATATATAGTATGCTACTGGGATGTTCATAGGTTTTAATGGGAAGTTAAAGGGGAATAAAGTGTGCAAATAGAGAAAATGTGTTACTTTCTATCAGTGAGTCAGATTATACATCAGTACTCAGTATAAAGCTGAGGTTTTTGAATCATTGTCTGCAGAAAATTCTCATTTATCATAGTGTTTTTGCTCTTATCATTATTAAAAATGCATGATCATATACAA